GAGGGCCATCTCTCTGCCGTTCGCCCTGCCTGCGTTGCTGCCTGCTGCCGTGTCCCGACCCCCCCCCCCTTTCTGCGCTCGGTGCCCGCCTGGACCGACGCGAAGCACGGCCAGGCACACGGGTAGACAAGGGCCGCTTACACCTTGCGAAATGGTTAAGAAATCATGGGTTAAGAAATTCATGGTCTCAGAACTTGACTAAAAACCCAAAATTTCTATTAAAATCTTAGGATTTACGTTGAAACATTAAGAATAATCGAGACCCTGGCCGAAAAATTAAGTTTTCTTAAGCATCGCCTAAGGTGTACTTCCCTAGGGTCTGGGCCCGACGCCCGCATCGCACCAGGAGATGTTCAACCGAAAGGGCAAGCGCAGAGCCAGCGCCGCCCCGCGGCACGCGAAAAGGGAGGCGCCGAGCGCGGCAGGGCCACGGAGCTCCGACCGACGCAGGGATCGACGCGCAGCGCTGCAGCACTCCGCGGAGCCCTGGGGAAGCCCGCCCAGGGCCCGAGGATCCCTGCGGGCGTAGTTGGGCGGTTGTGGCACCCCACTGACTACCTACCAGACCACCCCAACCCAAACCGAAGACCCGAATTTCGGGTTGGGGGGGGTATGGGCTCCACATGTGTTTTTTCGATGTTCCCAGACCCCCCCCCCCACTAGAAATCGAGGGCAAATCTGAGCCTTCGGGTTGGGTTGGGGTGGTTTGGTGGGTGGTGACCCACGGCCAAGACGGACACTGGACCCTGGACAGTGCGCCTGCCCGTCGCGCGGGGCGGCCCCACGTGGGCGACGAAGAGAACAACACATCTTGCGCGAGACGGCATGGCGAGCTCGCGCGGCGGCCCACGCGGGGCGCCATCGCGGCCCGCCACGCTGGAGACGAGGGCGCAGACGCGGGACCTCTCGCGGGAAGCTTGCGCGCCAATGCTGGCGCAGACGAGCCCGTTCTCTTGCGTCGCTCACGTGGTCCGAGCAGATGGGGTCGGAGGATCGCGCGCCGCATCGCCGATGCATCGGCGATGCAGCGGCGATGTAGCCGCGGTGCATCGGCGAAGCATGCGCGACGTCGGCGTTGCGAAATAGAACCATAACAAAAACGCCATAAACATAAATGTTCGGCACCCCGCACGGATTTCTTGGATCCACGCTGGACCCCCCTCCCTGGCGCGCTCCGCGCGCCAAGGGCTGCGCCGGAGGCGCTGTCGGGGGGCCCAGCGCGGACCCAAGAAATCCGCGTGGAGCGCCAAAAGTTTATGTTCACGGCGTGTCCAAGCTCCACCTTGATCCACGTCGCCGACGTCGCGACCTCACGCGGGCAGCTTGCGCACCAAGGTCCTCCTCCTCTTCCTGCTCCTGACCCTCCTGCTCCTCCTCCTCCAGACGACCCCCGTTTTCTTGAGGGGGGGTCGGGACACGGCAGCAGGCAGAAGACGCAGGCAGGGCGAACGGCAGAGAGATGGCCTTCCTCCTCCGTTCTCCTCCTCCTCCTCCTCCTCCTCCTCCTCCTCCTCCTCCTCCTCCTCCTCCACATCCCGCCCTCCCTCCCTCCCTCCCTCCCTCCCTCATCCCTCCTCATCCTCATCCTCCTCCTCCTCACCTCCTCCTCCTCCTCCTCCTCCTCCTCCTCCTCCTCCTCCTCCGTTTCCATTTTGGCTCAAGCCATTTGGCTCAAGCGTTCGCATGTCCCTTGCCTCGGCCGTCCCTGCGATGGCCGCCGCGCGAGGTGCTAGAGGAGCTCGGGCTGTGGACGCCGCCGCTGCTGCCCTGGTCGAGGCGGCGGTGCGCGGTGCTGCTGGCACGCCGAGGCGCACGGCTGCGGCTGTGGCGCGCTCCGCGGTGTCCGCTGCGCTCTTCGCGCTGCGGGTCCGCGTGGAGCAGGCCGCGGCGGCGCCTGTTGCTGGAGGCGATGAGGTGCTTCCTGGCCGCCCTGCTGCTGCGGCCGCCGACCCCGCGGCCCGCTCCGCGAGGCGGCGGCGGCGCCAGCGGAGGGCGGCGCGCATGGCGGCAGGCGCTGGCGCGCCTGACGCCCTCGACGGCATGGAGGTGGAGGTCGTAGCCATGGCCGATACAGCCCCCGCGGGGCCTGCTGCCGCGGAGGCGGTGGGAGGCGCGGATGTGGCTGCTGGTGCCGACGGTGCTGATGACCTTGATGACGAGTGGGCCGACGCCGTGCGGCGGGTGGCCCCTCGGGACGCTGTCGCGACGGCGGCTGCCCCGCTGGAGCCTGTAGCGCCCGTGGCGGAGGCGGCTCCTGGCGTGGCGTGGCGTTGCGTGCGCCCTCGGCCTGGTCGGAGGGGCAGCTCGCGGAGCTCCGCGAGTGCTTCGGCGAGCTCTCGCGCGCCTGCGGCTTCGTGCGCGCGGCGACGATCGAGCCGCCGAGGGACCCCGTGAACCTGATGGAGGCCGTGGCGGACCTCACCCGCATGGCGCGGGAGCGGGGCGCGCTGTCGCGCGCCGCCAGCCAGCGTTCCAGGGCTGCATGGGGGGGCGGCCCGGGGAGGCGGTTGGGCCCTTGACCGCTCGCGGTCGGGAGCCGTCTCCCCACCCCCTCGTGCATCGTGGGGTTCGGCTTCGGCATGCCCCACTTCGTCCTCGGCGGCGGCCTCGTCGCGGAGGGCGTCCATGTCGACCTCATCTGAGGTCTGTCGCGGCCCTTGGGAGCCGCGCGGCCGCGGCCCTCGGGAGCCGCGCCCTGGACAGTCCCGTCGTCTCTCACGCTCCCCGTGCGGGCGGGCGTGTGGGTAGCGACGAGGTCGTCCTGTCGCCGTGGTCTGTTCGCCCGTCGGACGGATCCTCGATGCTCCTGATTCCTGATTCCTGACTCCTGACTCCTGACTCCTGACTCCTGACTCCTGACTCCTGACTCCTGACTCCCCCTCCCCCTCCTCCTCCTCCTCCTCCTCCTCCTCCTCTCATCCTCCTCTCCTCTCTCCTCCTCCTCCTCATCCTCCTCCTCCTCCCTCCTCCCCTCCTCCTCCTCCTCCTTCTCCTCCTCCTCCTCCGCCTCCTCCTCCTCCCCTCCTCCTCCCTCCTCTCCTCCTCCTCTCCCTCCTCTCCTCCTCTCCTCAAAAAGGCCCTCATTTTGGGGTGGGGGGGGGGGGGGGTTCGGCGTCCCTCACCGCGGGGCGGGGCGGTGGCGCTCTGCGGCGCCGCGGCCCCCTCCCCCTCCCCAACGACGCCCGTGGGGCGGGGGCCGCGGCGAGCCACGGGCTCGGGGCCTGGTCAGCGCGAAGTGGCCCAGGGGCGCGGGGAATCCAGAATGACGACGGTAGGGGGCCAGATGTGAACCCTACCCCTACCCCCCACGATTTTGAGGGGGAGGGCGGGGCTCACTTCGTTCGGGAGCTCCCGAGCGAAGTGAAGCCCTCCCTCCCCCTCAGAAATCGTGGGGGGTAGGTGTAGGGTTCGCATCTGGCCCCCTAGTCGGGCTCCGGAACAGCACCCAGGGACAGGACCTCCTGCAGTCGGCGGTGGACACACACCTCCCTTTGGTGAACCACCCTTTGGTGCAAACGGCCTGGGGCCGACACCGACGGACCGGGACCCGCAAAAATGACGGCCGCGACGCCCTCTTGCGAACCGAAAACGGCCAATTCGCGAATCGACGTGTCAGGATAGGTCTCTGAACCTCCGATACAGGCGGGTTTTGAGGAAAAAATCAAAAGTAGGCAACAAAAAACTCTAACATCATCAAAAATAATCCAGTGTGGTCGGGCTCTAGAATTAGGTCGGGCTCCGGAACAGGACTCGGAACCAGGACCCCCCGAGCAGCGCGGGCGGTCTCGACCCCCTGGCGCCGCCTCCAGCGGCGCCACAGGGACGCCAAGGCGCCCCAGGGTTGGGGTGGCGAGAGCGCCCTGGGCTACGGCCGGACCCAGGACAGAAGACCGTCCCTTAATTCAAGAACTAGGTCGGGCATGTCCTCCTACAAAAGGGCTTGGGACGAAACATTAAAAATAGTACGAGAACTCGCCGGCCCAACGGGCCAGAGGCGTGCTAAGATCTCCACTAACGGTTTGACAATATTCTACTTCGCGCGCGCGTGGCGCACCCTGGGGGTCCCCGGACGAACAGTACCCCTGCCGATCCCTGGCGGATCCCCGGGCAATCCCCGGCCAGGTCTCCCAGGAAGCTCCAGGGGATGGCAATTTTTCGACACCTCTCACGAGGATCGTGGCATCCGAGGGGGGAGCTGCAATCGATCACCCCTCCTCTCGCCCCCGCGAGTTTCCCAAAAGGCTCCAGAGGCCCCAAGACGCCGCGAAGGAGCTCCAAGAGGCCTCCAAGATCGCCCCAAGACAGGGCCCAAAACCGCCCCAGAGGGCCCCAAGACGACCCAAGAGGCCTCCAAGACAGCCCAAGAGGCCCCCAAGACGGCTCCAAGAGGGGGTCCAGACGGGAGACCGGCGCGGATATTTCGAGCCCTCGGCCCTGAGAAGCCCCCAGGAGCGCCCAAGAGGTCCCCGAAAGGCTCCCAAGAGGCCCCTAGAGGCCCCCAAGAGGCCCTAAGATGCCCCCACGAGGCTCTCAGGAGGCCCCCCCCAAGAGGCCCCCAAGCGGCCCCAGGAGGCCACCCAAATGCCACCCCAAGCACGCAAGCAAGTGCCAGCGATGCTACAATATGGGCCAGCGGAATGAGCGAAGCGATTGAATGAAGACTTTCAAAAAGAAACGGTCAGAACATCGGGCGACGACGCCGACGACGATGACCACGACGACGCCGCCGCCGCCGACAACGACGCCGACGATGCCGCCGCCGCCGACGACGACGACGCCGACGACGGCGGTGGCGGCATCGACGACGACAACGACGACGACGACGACGACGACGACGACGACGACGACGACGACGACGGACGACCGACGACCGACGACCGACGCCGCCGACGCCGGCAAAGCCGAGGACGACGGAAGACCGACGCCGACGCCGACGCCGGCGGCGGCGGCGGCCGCGGCCCGAGCATGGGCGGCCGCGCGCCAAGGGGGGGAGGGGGCACCGCGGCAGCGGAGGCCGGCACCTCCTTGAAGATGCGGAACCTTCCCCGCCGCGGGCGCCGCGGCGCGGGCACCGAGCGCTGCTCAACCGCAGGGGCCAGCACTGAGCCAGCGCCGCCTCGCGGCACGCGAAGGGAGGCGGCAAGCGCGGCAGGGTCACGGAGCTCTGCTTCCTCCTCCTCCCTCTCCCTCTCCCTCTCCATCCTCCTCCATCCTCCTCCATCCTCCTCCACCTCCTCCTCCTCCTCCTGCACCTCCTCCTCCTCCTGCACCTCCTCCTCCTCCATCCTCCTCCAACTCCTCCTCCTGCTCCTCCTCCTCTCCTCCTCCTCCTCCTCCTCCTCCTCCTCATCCTCCTCCTCCTCCTCCTCCTCCTCCTCCTCCTCCTCCTCCTCCTCCTCCTCCTCCTCCTCCTCTCTTAACCGACGCGAGGATTGACGCACAAGGTTGTGGCAAGCAGCGGAGCCCTGGGGAAGGCGGGCGCGGCGGCGCGGGCGCGCGCGCGCGCCCCAGGGAAGCCAAGACGCCGCGGAGCAGGCAGGACGAAGGGCCTGCGCGGCCCTCTCGGCGGCGAGCCCAAGGGGGGGGGGGGGGGAAGCAGTGGGGGTCAGGCCTGCTCGGGAGGCGCGGGGCTTCCCGGGAGCCCTTGCGCCGGCCGAGGTCCAGGATAGATCTGAGGTGTCCCCAAACCGAGGTTGGCCCAGGTTGCATCCACCATGGCTCGAAAGCATGGGAGCCTTCTTGTCTTCTGGATCTCCTGGGGGTGTCGATGACCCACCGTCTGATGTCGATGGTTTCCCAGGATGGCCCCGAGAATTGTGGGAGGCCTCCAAAACGGCTCCAAGAAAGCTCGAGCACCAGACAGAGCTCCAACAGGGCCCTGTTGTGTCCCTTTGGGGGCTGATTGAGCTGAGGGCTTCGTTGGTTTGACTGGCGTCCCCCATGGGATTCACCAACCCTCGACCACTTCCACTCCCATGAAGTGCGGCTGTGGCCCAGGAATACAATCGAAACGCTGCCATAAGGAGCCCTATAGAAGGAACGAGGCCCCTTTTCTTCCATAAGTTCAACTTCGATTTCCCATAGAAAACCTGAGGACACCCCAAGACAAACAGTAAAGCAATTAGGGAACAATGAGCCCCTCCCCAACGAAAAGGGTTCCTTCTTCAGCGGCCCGATCGTACCTCTGCATGGGCCCGTGGGGATGTGCGAAGCGTCCAGATTTTGACTTTGCGGCACCACTCGCGCCTTGAAGACATCACTGCTTGGCGGCGATTCTCCTGAGAAGGCCCCAAGCATCCTGCAAGGAATTGGGCGCGAGCCAGTCTCTTTCACGAAGCCCTGGCCTTCTTAGGAGGCCGCGCCCGATCACCCTGCCCTCGACGAAAATCGGCTCCAACAGCTCCGTGGACACCCCCCAGGGGTCCAATCTGACAAGCTGTCCGAGCCGCGTCCAGCCGTGGCGACTAAATCCCGTGAAACGGCCGAACACCTCCAGAGCGACTGCAACACCGACGATCACGACGACGACGTCGAACGTCATGCAGAGCGCAGGGCCGAGGCGAACTCGGCTGGCAAGCGCAACATCGGTCCGTGGGGCCTGGGCAACCGAGCTGGAGAGGCAGCGCAAAAGATTGAGCAGGGGCCGACCGTCCCGGCACTCCTAGAGGCCGACCATGACATGCTCTTAGAACCCCAAACTGTTCCAAGAACAACACACTGTTCTTAGAACGTAATACCGATCGATGTGATAAAGCAAGACGCTCTGGCCAGAACTGTTCTGAGAACATGTCGTGCAACCCACAAAAGGTTACTAGACTCATGTTGCTCCCATCGTACTGAAGGACCACATCCCAGGAATGAGTTCGAGCACCCGGAAAAGGGCCGAAACATTGTCGAAACGCTGTCGAAGCAGCGTCGGGCGAGCGCCTCCCAGGGCCCGAGACGTGAACACCCTCGAGCCGCGGTGCTTTGCTGGTGCTCGAAGCTCTTCCTGGTGACCAGGGCTTGAGCATGCTGGCACATCCGGCGCCAGGACGCCCCGCCCCTGCTCGAGAGAGAGACCGGCGGAGCGGCTCCCGGTGGCCCCGCTCGTCCACGTCCAGGATGGAGGCCACGTTCCCGCACCGGTAGCAGTAGTTCGGGGCAGACCTCCGCGCGCCGGCTCGGGCTGCGCACCTGGTGATATGGGCTTGTTTTCCACCACCACCACCACCATCAGTGGGGGGGGGAGGAGGAGGAGGAGGAGGAGGAGGAGGAGGAGGAGGAGGAGGAGGAGGAGGAGAGAGGAGGAGGAGGAGGAGGAGGAGGAGGAGGACCCCCTACCCCCTCCAACTTATGGTGGTGCTGGTGGTGGCAAACAGGCCCATCACCCGGGGCCTCCAGCCCACAGCCCCGGAGCTGTGCTGCATCCTGGGAGGACCCTGTCTGCTCGAGCGCGGCCCTGTACGTATCGACTCCGTGCCGCGACCACGCCGCATCGGTGTCGGGTCTTGCACGCTTCCCCGCGGGTGGTCCGCCGTCGAAGGAAGCTTGGGTGGCAGCTCATGGGAGTCTCCTACACCATCTCGTCGGCTCTTGCGAATCGACGCCAGTCGACGCGGAATCGACGCTAATCGATGCAAAATCAACGCTCATCGACGCCAACCGACACTAAATCGGCGCTGTCTCATCGACTCCCAGACGCAAATCGACGCTAAAGACGAAATTCAGCGAGCACACCAGACTCCCATGATTCGCTACCGAAGGAACCCCTTTTCGATGGTCCTGGGGCCCGAGAGCAGCCCCGAGGCCGAATCCGAAGAAAAAAAGCGTGGCCCATGGAGCGCAAGGATTGCTGGGACGGGCTCAGGAGTGAAGAGGCCCAGACCCCCGACGTCGTGATTTTTTCATGACGCCGCCCCCCAGAGGTCTGGACCCCTTCCCCTGGACCGGTTTTTCGTCCTGCATCGTTTTTTGACGCTCCCGAGGCCCGGGGAGGGCCCCCGGAGGCCGAAAATTGCGAAAAACCTCCCGTCGCGATTTTTTTCACGACGCGAGGAGGTCTGGGGGGGGGGCACATCGCCCCTGGAAGCGGCGATGCGTCGCCGATCCCTCGGCGCCCTGGCCCACGCTGTAGCGAATCCGCGTGCTCCCGGGCGGGGCGGGCCAGCGGACGCCTGCCAGCGGTGGACAGCCCACCCCCCGCCCTCCCGCTGCCCCTGTCGGGTCGGGCGAAAGGGGGGGATAGCAAAGGGGGGGGTTGAGAATCAGCTCACGCAGCTCATTTTCCTGGCGCCGGAGGCGGCCAAGTATCGAGGAATGGGCCCCTCGGCGAGGCCGAAACCAGCTGCATGCAGCAGATTTCGTAGCCCCCCGTTTCCCAATCCCCCCCTTTCGCCCGGCCCGACCCTGGGTGCGGGCAATACTTATATCCATCTCCAGTGCGTCTTGGACTTTCTTGAGAGGGGCGCCGCAAGGCCGAGGCGCACTGGATATGGACAAAAAATCTAGCCTCCTGGGGCCAGATCTGAATCCATATCCGGTGCGCCTCATGTTTTTGGGGAAGAGAGCCCGAGACTCCAAGACGCACTGGATGTGGATATAGACACTGCCCGCACTGGGGCCAGGCCGCCAAGGCCCCAGCGGGCCGCGCCGCGCGCCGGGTGCCAGGCGCGTGCCCTCCCCCCCCCCGCGCGCCTCGACCCCGGCCCGGGGCCGCACGGTAGGCGGGCGAGCCCGGCGCCGACGCGGCACGCCGGGGCGGCGACCGCAGTGCGGCGGAGCAGCAGAGGTCCGCGGCCGAGCCGGGAGGCGTCGAGGCGGCGGCGGAGTCGGCCGGCCAGAAGGCCCACCTCGTGAGCACTCTCGGGATCCCCACGTGCGGAGTCCGAGGCCGAACCGAGGCGGGGTCGGCATCCACCGAAGTCGGATCGAATCGGCTCGTATGAAGGGGCCCTGGGACACACCACTAAGTACACACAAATCACAGGATTCCCCATATGTGTCCATAGTTGTTGGGGTTGTCGTCTTCCCCCCCCCTTCCCATGTTTTCCAATATTGTCCGGGGAATCGACGATGAATTGTGTCTGTGTGTTTGCTTTCCCTCCCGAATCCACCGAAGCCGGACCGAATCGGCTCGGAGGGGTCGAAGCGAGCCCTGCACGAGGGGGCCTGCCGCGCCTCGCCCGAGGCCCGGAGGCTGGGAGATGGGCACCGACACAAGCCCGGGGGCCTGCCTCCACCAGTCGGGCGTTGGCAGAGCTGGCTTTAGTGGGACCTGGTTTAGCGATGAAACGTGGGGGGGGGGGGCGCCCCCCCCCCCCCCCGCCCCGTTCCACTAACCAGAACTGCCGTCCCCTGAGCAAAAAAAACACAAGCTACGGCAGACCTGGCTCAGTGGCTCTGGCAAATGTGGTGGCTCCGGGGCCCTACTACTAACCGGGTCCCCTTACCTCGGGTCCTGGCCATACCCGAAACAGGGCAGGACGCTCCTGGACGTCGGTGCTTGTGGTACTCTGCCGGTCACCAATGGGAGCCGCAGCAGCACCACCCTCACAGGGATCGGGACATAGCGTCTTCCCTCGGTGGAGGCACGAGATGCCACCCTGATGGGGTCGGAGTGGATGGGGTCGGAGGATCGCGCCGAGTCGCCGATGCATCGCCAATACATCGGCAATGCGGCGTCGCCGTCGGCCACGCTGAGGCGCCGTCGGCGTAGAGAAAATCGAGCTCCCCATCACGCCGAATCGCCGATGCATCGGCGGTGCGGAGCGATCCTCCGACCCCATCCGGGAGGCCTCGCACGCCTGTGTGTTGTTTGCTCTCCTGACTCTCTTCGATCCTTCGCGATCACGCCCGCGACTGGCCATGCCCCCCCACGATCTCTTCCTAGTCACGCCTGCGGAGCGGAGTGATACATGTATACAAATGTTTACACCTATGTATACATATACATATACACATCTACCGTCTGGGGAACCGACGTGTTGGGACCCCAGCAGGCGGTGGATATGGATAATTATGTTTGCCCCAGGGGGTCCGAACATATCCATATCCACCGCCTGCCGAGGTCCACGAAGATCGATCGCCCAGGCGGTGGTTGTACATAAATCTCCCCCTTGATCCCCCCAGGTCACGTTCCGATTCGCGCTGGCGCCGTGTGGGAAGAAACCGGCGCGAATCGTCGTGACGTGACCGACCCTCTCTCCCCTCCCCATCCCCCCCCTCGGTCGAGGCCCAGGAATGCACGACTAAATACACACACACACATCCCAAGAATGCTTGCCCACATGTTCTGGAGCTCCGTCTCCCCCCCCCCCCTTCCCATATCTTCCCTCATTTTCTCCGGAACCGACTATTACTGGTGTCTGTGCTTTTCTCTCCGGAGGTATCGCCAGAGGACAATGGGAGAAGAACAACAAAACGGCCTCGAGGCGCCAAGTGATGAGCGCGTTTTCCACCACCACCACCATAAGTTGGATGGGGCGAAGGGGGAGGAGGAGGAGGAGGACGAGGAGGAGGAGGAGGAGGAGGAGGAGGAGGAGGAGGAGGACCCCCCCCCTCCAACTTATGGTGGTGGTGGTGGAAAACACGCTCATCACCAAGAGCAGGGCGGGGCCCGGCGCGAGCGCGACCACACCATCTTGGGGGTCGCGGCGGCCGGCCCGGCCCGGCCGGCCGGCCGGCCCGCGGCGGGCGCGGGCAGCCGGCAGCTCCAGAGCGAAGCCTCTTGCAGGCTGCTCGCACCAGCGTTAGATGATGCTCGTTCTGGGGACCTTCCTGGAGCCACTCGCTCCACTCGTGCGTCGAGCCTGAGTCGAACCTGAGTCGAGCCTGAGTCGAACCTGAGTCGAGCCTGAGTCGAACCGGAGTCGAACCTGAGTCGAGCCTGAGTCGAACCTGAGTCGAACCTGAGTCGAACAGATCCATTAGGTGGGCCCCAGGAAGGTCCCCAAAACGAGCATCGAACCAGGGGACCTCACCCAGACTCTCGGACCGACCGCCGGCGCGCAGCAGACGGGCAGTAGCCAACAAAAACTGGCGGGGCGCGGGGCCGATCCGGACGCTTCTGGTGCAGGTCCCTGGCGGGGGGGCGACATCCCGCCAGGGCACCTCTGGCCATCGCTCGGACGTCCATTCCCTGTGTTTGTTTCGGCTTCGTGCGTGGTTTTTTCACCAAATGATCAAGGATGCTCCTCGATGGTCCTCGCCGAGGAAAGAACGCACACTTCCGAGCGATGCCAAGACCTCGGACACGGCACCACACCCCTGAAAGAGACAGGAATCACAGCTCGCAGAGGGCAGGATGCGCCAACATCCAATCGGGGAGTCGGAGCGGACCGGGACGTGCCCCGGTCCGGGATCCGTGCATCGGCACGAGTCCGTATATATCGACCCGGATCGACCGCGCCACAGGGCCCGACAGCGAGCGCCACGCAGGCATCGGGCCGCACCAGATCGCCGGGGGACGAGGATCGAATCGCATCGGGCCGATCGACAGAGCGATGACGAATCGGATCGATCGAGTCGGATCGACTCGAGATCGAATAAATGGGCTCCGCGGGCCCCTTTGCGCGATCGAGCAGTCGAATCGATATCGGCCCGAAGCGAATCGACGAGCCGAACCGACATCGAAGCGAAATGGGCCGTGCGGGACCCGTGCGCTCCAAAGCCGCCCGAGGCCCGAGGAGAAAGCCCAGCGGGGGGGGGGGGGAGGAGGAGGAGGAGGAGGAGGAGAAGAGGAGGAGGAGAGGAGGGAGGAGGAGGAGGAGGAAGGAGGAGGAGGAGGAGGAGGAGGAGGAGGCGAGGCCCGAGGAGAAAGCCCAGCGGGGGGGGGGGCCACACTTGGCGGGGGCGCGAGGCGCGGCTCACCTTCCTCGGGCAGGGGCCGGCCGCCCCGACAGACCTATCTGAAGGGGCCCCAGGACACACAAATAAATACACACAAATAAAAATGTTCCCCATATTTTCCCATATTTTCTGGGTTTCTGTCTTCCCCCCCACTTCCCATATTTTCCCATATTTTCTGGGGAATCGAGGATTAATTGTGTCTGTGTGTTTTTTCCTCTCCTATCGGCCCACCACGGAGCGCTCTCAGAACAACAGGCCGCTCCCAACACTCGTCCGTCGGCGGCGAGGCAGAGTGGGCTGCACCAGCGCTAGAGCTAAACGGGGGGCACCGAGAGAAGCGAACTGGCCAGCGTGCAAAGAGCGGGGAGAGGGCAGACGAGGCGGCCGCGGAGGGGGACGGGAGAACAGGCCACTCGGAGGCGGAGGAGTTCTCACACTGCTCCCAAAACACAAAGACCTGTTTTAGAACATAGAGCCGCTGTGTGAAAAAATGTGCGTCAGCCAACGATGCTCTAAGAACAATTTGCGTAAACCGCAAAAGGTTATAACAATGGTGCTTGGAAAAAGGTAAGATGCACAGACAGCGCTACTCCCCGGACATCTCCCAGGGCGGTTTCTGACCAGGAGTCCGAGGCGAATCCGGCGGTGGCGACGAGGGCCTCCCAGGAAGCCCCAAAGGGGGAAAACGAGGAAGGGCGGCGGTATGTGTACCTTTTCCTCCTCTGAGTTTAGTGGGCCTACAGTTAAGTAGGGCATGTCCTCCTACAGGCGGATCTTGAAAGACAAATCAAGAAAATAATCAAAAATACAAGAAAAATCGTACCCAGACCATTTTCCGACTATTAGTGAATATTCCTCCTGTAGAGGGACGTGCCCGACTTAAGCCTACAGGCGAGCCAAGACTTTCGTCCACTGCTTACCCCTCGCGCCCCCGCGGGTGCTCCCGAGCTCGGGCATGTCCTTCTGCAGGCGGAACTCGACAGAAAAATGATAGCCCGAAAGTACTCCAAAATAGTGTGAAGAGCACGAAAAGCCGTCTCCTGACATTTTGTCGCAGCCATGTTTGAGAGAGCGCGTTTCGTTTGGGAACATTCGGCGGCGCGTTTCGAAACGGGAGGTGCCCCCCCCCAACACTCGGCGCCGTCGATCAAAACCAGGGGGACGTCCCTCCTCCCCAAACCCTCCCCCCTCGCGAAAACTCCCCCCGCCCCCCCCCTCCCAAAAGGGGGGGTCAAAACTACCAACAATTCACTACCACCACCACAGCAAAACCCACTACTACTACTACCACCACCACCACCACCACCACAACCTACCACGCCACCACCACCACCGCCACAACCACCACTACTACCAGCAGCACAACCCACCACCACCACCACAAACCACCACACCACAACAACCACCACCACCACCGCCAACACCACCACTACTACCACCTCCACAAACCACCGCCACCACCACAACCCACCACCACTACCACCACAAACTACCACCACACCACCACCAAACCACCAACCACCACCCCACCACCACCACCACAAACCACCACCACACCACCACCACAACCACCACCACCACCACCACCACCACCACCACAACCACCACCACCACCACCACCACCATCACCCAACCAACAACAGCCACCACCACAGACCACCACGCCACCACCACCACAACCAGAACCAAACCCCCACCACCACCACCACAACCCACCACCACCACCACCACCACCACCGTCTTCGTCGACGCTCCCCGCCGCCACCGCCCGCCGCCGCAGGCGCCGGCGCTGGCCCAGAAAAAGAAATCGTCGTCCCCGCCGCCGCTGCCAGCCGCCCGCCGACGCAGGCGCCAGCCCGAGGAGAGAGGAGAGGGAGGGAGGGGAGGGGGGGGGGCGGGGGGGTTCGGGCCCCCCCCCTCCATCCAGGGGAGGGGAGGGGGGGGAGGGTCTGGTTCCAAACGCCCCCCCCCCCCAAGCGACCACAGAACGCGCTCTTTCCGATGATCTAATGTACCTCCTGTAGGAAAGGACGTGCCCGACTTGACGCCCACCCCCGTGGGGAGACCAGCCTTCTGGACCATCTCTCGAGAGGGTGCTGGAAGAAGGCACGCCGGGATAGGGAACGACGCCCCTCCTGGGCCCTAAAAAAGCGCCTGCGTGGGGACGAGAAGGCGGGGGGGAGCAGCCACAGGAGAGCCGCAGGAGCAGCGAGCTCCCCTCCCCGAACCCAAAGCGGTCCTTGCTTGCTTCGGAGTCAGAACGATGTCAACATCCTCCTCCTCCTCCTCCTCCTCCTCCTGCCTCCTCCTCCTCCTCCCCTCCTCCTTCCTCCTCCTCCTCCTCCTCCTCCATGTCTTCTCCTCCTACTCCTCCCCCTCCTCCTCCTCCTCCTCCTCCTCCTCCTCCTCCTTCACCATGTCTTCGCCTCCTCCTCCTCCTCCTCCCTCCTCTCCTCCGCCTCCTCCTCCTCCCCCTCCTCCTCCTCTCCTCCTCCTCCTCCTCCTCCTCCTCCTCCAGGTTGGTCGGAGTCGACGGGGGCCCGGAGGTCGCGCCGCATCGCCGATGCATCGGCGATGCATCGCGATCACGCGATTGCATCGTCACGCGGGCGAAGCCTCGCGACGTCCGACGTGAAGCAATCGGGCTCCACATCCAGCCGCATCGGCAATGCATCGGCGCTGCGGCGCGAGGCTCCGGCCCCACCTACTCCGACCCCATCCAGGAGGCCTAGAGTGAGGACCACCGCTCCCCACAATTGTCTGGGCTGGCAAACGTCAGCTCTGGATTCCTGCGGGGCTCGGGATTTCTTGGCAGCGTCTGTGCGGGCGCCCCCACCAGGGGCTCCTTGCAAAATCGGGGCGCCGCTCGGACAAAGAGGAGGCGCGTGGCTCCGGTCTGGATGTTCGCCATGGCGAGACCACGACTGCATCCTCGCCATCGTCTCCTCCCTCCTCTAGCGCTCCCCCTCCTCTTCCCTGCAGCGTGTGATCTGTGCCGCCTGAGGATGAGGCGCCTGGACGTGTATATCTCACATAACAACGACTGCCAGCCTGACTGCTGCTGGAGCCACGCTTGCAACTACATGACCTTCGCACTGAACCTGTACTGCTACTGAGGTGGGCCACCGTGCGGCAGCGCATGCTGGAAGGCCCAGGGAGGAGAGAGAGAGGCAGCTATAAAGAACGGAAAAAAGAAGAGAAACGGGCGGAGATGAACCGGCTGGACAGCAAGTGCCGGGAGAGGGACGGGCCGAGGGGAGGGGGAGCGGAGAAGCAGAAGCGGAGAAGAAGGAGTAGAGGAGAGCAGACGCGAGACGACGACGACAACGCCAACAAACAAAGCGGACCACACGGTCACGAGCATGCCCGTGTTGTCGCGCCGGCACTTCTCGCTGTCCGTGAACATGTACCTCGCGCCCGGTCAGCCGCCCGAATCCTCGTGCGTGCGTGCGCCGGCAGGTGTAGGATCGCGCCAACCACAGCCAGGCCTTTGAGATACACAAACGCGTTCCACTATTCGTAATTACTCGCAAATGGCCAGGACGCGCCGTGGTGGAAGGACGATCGAATGCATCGAGGCAAACCTGTGTTTCTTGTTGGTACGGACGATTGCGAGTAGGAATTTTGCCAGCAGTGGAGCGCGCTCGGTGAGCACAGGAGAACATCCTTCAAGAACATGAAAGCCTCCGCGGGCCCAAACTGAAGAACAATGCGAGGATGCCCCCCCCCAAGATCCACGGGAACGTCCTGCGAGCACAAAGAACATGAGGGTACCCTCCACGAACCGGCCTCGATCTGATACCTCGGCCCCACCGCATGCACACCCACCGCTCCTGGTCAAGCCGCTGATGGGACCCCCTGCCCACGGCACCAGGGGTGGGCGCCGATTCTCCTCGGCCCACTACCACAGGTGGGAGAGAGAGGAGGAGGAGGAGGAGGAGGAGGAGGAGGAGGAGGAGGAGGAGGAGGAGGAGGAGGAGGAGGAGGAGGAGGAGGAGGAGGGG